TCATGGTCCTGACAAAGTGTTGTTATTTTTCGGGTCAATCAGAAATACAATTTGGCTGCCATGGCCGCTATTTTGCTACTAAGTTCTAATAGGCCGATCTCACTTAAAATTGGTCTAGGAATGATCAGCTCATGGTCCTGACAAAGTTAAGTTAACATTATACTATTTTTTACTCAAATTGGTACATATTTCAACAACAAAAATAAATACTATAGATTCAGGTGACCGTTAAGGCCCATGGGCCTCTTGTATTTCTTATACAGTGATTATGTAATTCAATGTCAGATTTGTATATGATATTGTGATTATATATAATTGGACGTCATATTTGTATTCAGTGCTTATGTTATTGCACTCAGGATGTATATGCTGTGCCATGATTATGCGTTATATATTAGACTGATTATGTCATTCAATACAAGGTAAATTTACATATAATTTTACAATTATTTTGTGATTTGACCACAGATGTTGATGTATGTATTATGCAGTAATTACAGTTTAAAATTTTGCAGTGATTTTTTAACACCAGATATATTTTATACAATGTTTATGGAATATAATCACCTTCCCCGATTTTAGTTTGTGTTTCGTCTTCTTTGTTTGCAAAACAAAACAACGACGCATTTCCTTAAATATAAGGAGACAATATTTATCAAAGTTATTATTGAAAAGATGAGTTGTTAAATTAAACTTAAGTGTCTTCTAAAACATTGACTCTAGCACCTTACTTTTTCGTGGCAGCATCTTGCGGTTTTTTAAATGGAATTCAAAGATGCATTCCTGGTGTTATTCTAATTATGTGTAACTGTGTTTGTACATCACAGTTGAATCGGTATTCAAGATCTTCCTCCGAATATTATGATTTCTTTGAAAAAAAGATGACAGCTAATGGACAAAAGTACACCACAGATTGTCGAGAGATGCAGACAAGTAAAGACCACGGGCAGGTTTTGCGATTGTCGTTATTATTTTATTAGGAAATATGTTTTTTAGCTCATCTGGCACGAAGTGCCAAGTGAGCTTATGCCGTGGTGCGGCGTCCGTCGTCCGTCGTCCGTCCGTCCGTCGTCCGGTGTCAATATTTTACTTTAAACGGCTTCTTCTTAATAACCGAAAGGCCTAGGGTGTCGATATTTAATCAGAAGCAAACTGGGATGAAGGACTACAAAATTTGTTAAAATTAATGACCTTCACCCATTTTCAAGGTCACAGGGGTCAAATATGTTAAAAACTTTAAACATCTTCTTCTCGATAACCAAACTGCCCAGGGATATGATATTTGGCCAGTAGCATGCTTGGGTAAAGGGCTACCAAGTTTGTTCAAATGAATGACCTTCAATTATGTTCAAGGTCACAAGGGTTAATTGTCTTAAAAAAAACTTTAAATAACTTCTTCTGAATAACCAAAATGCCCAGGGTGATGATATTTGGCCAGTAGCATGCTGAAATAAAGGGCTACAAAGTTTGTTCAAATGAATGACCTTCACCCATATTCAAGGTCACAGGGGTCAAATATGTTATACTTAAACAACTTCTTCTGAATAACCAAAATGCACAGGGTTATGATATTTCGCAAGTAGCATGCTGAGATGAAGGGCTACAAAGTTTATTCAAAGGTATGACCTTCACCCATATTCAAGGTCACAGGGGTCAAATAAGTTAAAAACTTTAAACAACTTCTTCTCAATAACCAAAATGCCCAGGGTAATGATATTTGGCCAGTAGCATGCTGAGATAGAGGGCTACAAAGTTTGTTCAAAGGAATGACCTTCACCCATATTCAAGGTCACAGGGGTCAAATAAGTTAAAAACTTTAAACAACTTCTTCTCAATAACCAAAATGCCCAGGGTAATGATATTTGGCCAGTAGCATGCTGAGATAGAGGGCTACAAAGTTTGTTCAAAGGAATGACCTTCACCCATATTCAAGGTCACAGGGGTCAAATATGTTAAAAACTTTAAACAACTTCTTCTGAATAATCAAAATGCCAAGGGTAATGATATTTCGCCAGTAGCATGAAGAGATGAAGGGCTACCAAGTTTGTACAAATGAATGACCTTCTCCCATATTCAAGGTCACAGTGGTCAAATATGTTAAAAACTTTAAACAACTTCTTCTCAATAACCAAAATGCCCAGGGTAATGATATTTGGCCAGTAGCATGCTGAGATAGAGGGCTACAGAGTTTGTTCAAATAAATGACCCTCACCCATATTCAAGGTCACATGCGTAAAATATGTTAAAAACTTTAAACAACTTCTTCTGAATAACCAAAATGCCCAGGGTAATGAATTTTGGCAAGTAGTATACTGGGATGAAGGGCTACAAAGTTTGTTCAAATGCATGGCCTTCACCCATATTCAAGGTAACAGGGGTCAAATAAGTTAAAAACTTTAAACAACTTCTTCTCAATAACCAAAATGCCCAGGGTGATGATATTTTGGCCAGTAGCATGCCTAGATGAAGGGCTACCAAGTTTGTACAAATGAATGACCTTCTCCCATATTCAAGGTCACAGTGGTCAAATATGTTAAAAACTTTAAACAACTTCTTCTCAATAACCAAAATGCCCTGGGTAATGATATTTGGCCAGTAGCATGCTGAGATAAAGGGCTACAAAGTTTGTTCAAATAAATGACCTTCACCCATATTCAAGGTCACATGCGTAAAATATGTTAAAAACTTTAAACAACTTCTTCTGAATAACCAAAATGCCCAGGGTGATGAATTTTGGCCAGTAGCATGCTGGGGTAAAGGGCTATCAAGTTTGTGCAAATGAATGACCTTCACTTATATTCAATGTCACAGGGGTAAAATATGTGAAAAACATTAAACAACTTCTTCTCAATAACCAAAATGCACAGGGTTATGATATTTGGCCAGTAGCATACTGGGATGAAGGGCTACAAAGTTTGTTCAAATGCATGACCTTCACCCATATTCAAGGTAACAGGGGTCAAATAAGTTAAAAACTTTAAACAACTTCTTCTCAATAACCAAAATGCCCAGGGTGATGATATTTGGCCAGTAGCATGCTGAGATGAAGGGCTACCAAGTTTGTACAAATGAATGACCTTCACTTATATTCAAGGTCACAGTGGTCAAATATGTTAAAAACTCTAAACA